CTGCAAAGGTCCAGACCAGAGCCTGGCCCAGGGAGGAGCCTGCAACCAAGGCGAGAAAAACACACGGTTGCCTCCTGCAAAAGTCCAGACCAGAGCCTGGCCCAGGGAGAAGCCTGCAACCAAGGTATGTGCCCCTGACCAGAATCCAACCCAGGACCCTTCGGTCTGCAGGCCAACCCTCTATCCACTGAGCCAAACCGGCTAGGGCAAGAATAGAGTTTTTAGAGTTGTTTTAACTGGAAGGTTTTTAAGTTGCTGGTAAGTTGCTGCCCTATAACAGGAATAGCTGTCCTTTATGTAACATATTTTACATGCCAGGCGCCGTTCTTAGTGCTTTATATTGTTAACTAATCTAATTCTCATAGAAATCCAGTGACTCATGGACTGTTATTATCATTTTACAGCTGAGAAAACTCAAGATAAAGTGACTTGCACAGGGTTCCACCATTAGTAATGGCAGAATTAGGAATCAGACCCTAGTAGTACAGTTCCAGATGTTGTGCCCTTGACAAGTATGATTTACAATATGATTTCTGGGTCATATGTAATAAAGCTATGAAATGTCACCCAAGTTAAGTTACCTTGGCCTCTGTGCTCACAAGAAATCCCAGATAGATAAGAGGTGTTGGCCCCTGCTTTTCACTAAGCCTCATGCAAAGAAGTCTGCAAGCTGCATGCCATGACCCAACAAAAACAAACAATGAGAGCATAGGCCTTTGATACACAGGGCCTGAGAAGGAAGATTGAGGGCCCAGCATAACAAGAACTGTCAGTGGACTTTGAAAAATTAAACTTCCTGAAGCAATTTAGCGGACAAGAATTTATTGCTTCAAAGAATGTTGATTACCTACATTGGGGGTATAAAAGGATTATAAAAGGATTACCTATGCTGCCAGTAATGGGCATGCATTTGAGATCCAGTCCTATTGGAGGAACTTTGAACTGAGCAGAGGGGCTTGACAGTGCCTCTTTGTTTCTCCATGGTTTCAGAACTTTTCCCATCCCACAGAAAATTATTACTACTACCACCATCAACTATTACTACAACTGCCATTTATTGTTTACTGGCACCTTACCTTAGTTAATGTGCATAATATTTCTATAATTATGATCACCATGCTCTATTCACATAGGAGAAATCTGAGACTCAGAAAGGTTAAGTGAGCCCTAGCCAGTTTAGCTCAGTGGATAGAGCCAGAATGTTTAGCAATTTTGAATAAAGCTGAAGGGTCTCGGGTTTGATTTTATTCCAATCAAGGGCACATACCTCGGTTGCAGGCATGATCCCAGCCCCGGTGGGGGTGCCAGTTCGCCAATCGATGTGTCTCTCTCACCTTGATGTTTCTCTCTCTGTCTCTCCCCCTCCCATCCACTCTCTAAAAATCAATGGAAAAATATCCTTTGGTAAGAATTAACAGCAACAATAACAAAAAGAAAGGTTAAGTGACCTGACCAATATTACAGCTGAGAAGTGTGGGGCAGCCAGCTGGGTTTTAACCTGGGATTTTCTGACTCCAAAGCCATACACATATTTTAATTTTTAAGTGAAATTTTTATTGAAGAACACAAATCATAGAGTGAACACACCCATGTAACTACTGACAGGTCAGGAAATAGAACATTACCAGCCCTCAGAAGCCCCTTTTGCTCTCTCCCAACCCCTACCCAATATCTCCACAAGGGGAGTCACTATCTATGCCAGTATGATCAGAGATTACCTTTTGCCTATTTTAGAATTCTATTTTAATGGAACTAGAAAGTATATACTCTACAGAGTTTGGCTTCATTTGTTTACAAGATTCACTTACATTTTGTACATGGCAGTGGTTCATTAATTATCAGTGTTATGTAGTGTGTGTTTCATGACTATACCACAATTTATTAATTTGCTGTTGATGGGCATTTGGTTGTTTGTCATGATTAGCAATTTTGAATAAAGCTGCCATGACCATTTTTGCATATGTCTTTTGGTACATTATTATGATTTATGATGGATATATACCTAGGGTGGAAATGGTGGGTGGTACACTTTATCTGAGTTCACATTTAATACAAATTGGTAAATCGTTTTCCAAAATGGTCTAACAAATATATACTATCACCAGCAATGTATGAGTATTAAGTTACTCTACATTCTTGCTGGCATTTGGCATTATCAATATTTCTCATTTTAGCCATTCTGGTGGGTATATTGTGGTATCTTATTTTGGCTTTGCTTTGCTTTTCCTTAAGAATTAACAAGGGTGAGCACTTTTTAAAGTATGTATTTTCCACTGATGTCTGCTTTTTCCCATATCTATGTATATTTGTTTGGGTTTCTGAACTTTCTGTTCAGTTCCAAAAGTATTTTTTTGTCCATCCTTGTGCTAAGAGTATATTCTCTTATTTTGATTAATAATTTTTGATATCTACTACTTTACATCTTCCAATTTTGTTATTGTTTTTCAAATTGTTATAACTGTTCTTGGGCATCCTTATAATTGTAAGAATTTTAGAATCAGCTTGTCAATTTTTATAAATTAAAAAAATATTGAATGGGATATCATTGAACCTGATCAATTTGAATAGATTCACATCATTAAAAAATTTAGTCTTCTCATTCATAACTGGGGCAGATGTCTCCATTTAGTTAGATTTTATTAATATGTTCTACTTTCCAGTATAGCGATCTTACACGTTTTTGGTAGATAAAATCTGATATAATTGATGTGTTTAATATCTTATAAAATGATGCCATTTCTAAAATTTCATTTTTAATTGTTTGATGCTGGGATATAGAAACACAATTGAATTTTCTTATTGACCTTGTATTTAGTGAGATGCTTAAAAATCACTTAAATGACACAGGGATTAGGGGCACCAATTCCCTTGAATAGTAAAAAACCAGGATATAATGTGTGACTCCCCCAAAACTTAACTACTAGGAGACTGCTGTTGATTGGAAGCCTTCCTGATAACATAAACATATTTTGTATATACATTACATACTGTATTATTGCTATAAAGTAAGCTAGAGAAAAGAAAATGTTATTAAGGAAAACCACAAGGAAGAGAAAACACATTTATAATGTTTATGGGGGGAAATCTGCATGTAGGTGGACCCATACAGTTCAAACCCATTTGTTCACAGGCCAACTATACTTCCATGGCATGTTAATGGAAGTTAAGCACCCTCTCCAAAAAAGAAAAGAAAAGAAAGAAATATAAATAAAAAAGACACTGAGCTTTGGAAAACATTAAACAGACTTGTTTACTGCAAGATTTATTTGAACCTTTAAAGTTATGCATTATGAAATTTCAAAATTATTTAAACTCAGCATACATTTGCTTATAAAGGACCAGTACTTCTTGGAACATATTTTGGGAAAGTGGGATATATCAGCATTGAGGAAACATTTGCTGGAATGGTAGGTACCCTGGCATGAAAGGCCCATGAAAGCTAGGGCTTTGGGGGTATTTTCTCAATGTGTATTAATTGAATGAATTGTTGGTTTTAGTGGATGAAGGAAGAATTAGATCTGGGTGAAGTCAGTTTTTTGGCAGGATTAATCTGACATCATAGTATAAGATGGACTGTAGGGGGGAATGAGGCTAGGAACTAAAGTACCCAAAAAGAAGCTGTTAAAGTTGTCCAGACCTAAGATTTTTTTTTTAATACTGTGGTGACATCCTTGAGCAAATGGAAACAAAAATGGATAAAAGGGATGTTTTTAAAGAGAATTGACAAGATTTGGTGATCGATTAGATGAAGAAAGAAAGAAGTTCTCAAGGTACTTAAAGAGTTTGGATGGTTGAGGATGATGGAGTCACTGTGGGGAAGGTGACATTTCTATACAAGACTTTATTGTGTTTCCTTCAGGTAGCCTGCTGAACTGATGGATGTAGTCATGAAGGAAGTGTCTAATTCCGTGACAGTTTACCTTGTGTTTGAGAACTTTCTGTGTAGAAAATGATTACAAGTTTTTAAACAGTAAAACTAGTGATGGGATAGAGTTTGGATGAAAAATACTGGAAAAAAAACACCTTTGTAAAAAAAATTGCACTGAGGTTGAGTGAGAGCAAATGTTTTGTACAAAGATTCTAACTTAGCTCACAAGCCAACGTGTCTTTTTTCTAGTTCATCAATTCTATGATATCTACATATACATATAAAGTATTCTAATTAAAATATTTTAAATTTTGGTAATGATGGTTGGATAATTTATTTATAGCTACTCTTTTCTAAAAGAAAGTAGAGTATTCTAGGATTATCAACTAGTGGGACTTATATTTTGGATATGAAAAGGCTGTGAGATTTAAAACGTAGGGTGTCTAGTCTAGACATGCTAAGAGGCAAAACTTAGGCAAACCCAGACTACTATCACCACCCTTTATGTCTGCTCAAACCTAACAAGTCCCAAGGGAGCTGACTTCTCTAGCTCAGAAGAGGCAGTGGATGGAATGAAATCAGCACAGACTTCAGACCCACAGACTTAGATTTAAATCCTAGAGGGAATAAGTTGTTTCTTACCTCTTAGTCTACTTATTCATAAAATAGGAATAATAATTATCTCACAGTATAGTGGTAAGGATTAAATAAGATGTAAAATAACTAGTACCAGAGGCAGTATGCATAACTGTATGCATACTAATAACAGTATGTATTTTAAATATGCCTTCTATCTTTGAACCAGATTTGCTTTCCATCCCAAAAGTCATGCGTCCATTAGTAGTGCATCTAGTGATCTTGAGAGATGCTACCTTTGTGATGAAGATAATTAGGAGTGATAATAAATTTGGTGTAATCATGATTACCATAAAATATTAAAAAAAATTTAAAGGATTTTACATGTAAGGAATAGTAGTGATAAGGGTCAAGTGTTGGTGGGGCTAGAAAACAAATTTGTCCTGCGGAAAAGTTGTAAGTACTTAGTTATATCCACATTCAAAATGAAATGAATCTAAACAGCAAAACATGGTTTTCCTTCATTGTAACAAACATCTCTTTTTCATTACAACAGTGAGAAGAAGCTCATTACAGATGCTCTTAATAAAAATCAGTTTTTGAAGAGACTGGATCCTCAGCAAATCAAAGACATGGTGGAATGCATGTATGGAAGAAACTACCAGCAAGGGAGTTACATTATTAAGCAGGGAGAACCAGGAAACCACATCTTTGTGTTGGCAGGTGGGTTTCACAGATTTTTCCAGTTATTGTATAACAAATATTTTGCCTATTATGATTTTTGCAAACATTTATGAAAATGCAAAAACAGTTTGCTGTGTTTGTAGGAAATGTAACAGATTGAGATCATGAAATAGTAACATTGTTGATCTATCATGATGATGATAAGACTTAATATTTACTGAATGCTTTCTATATGTCAAGCATCCTGTTGAACACTGAACAGAGAAATCCCATTCATCTTCCCATCAGTTCTGTTACTGGTTACTGATGTTGCCCGTATCTCCATGTTACTAATGTTGACTGTCACAGAGAGGTTAAGTAACTTATCCAAGGCCACACAGCTCCTAAGTGGTGGAGGTAGGATGCAAACTTAGGTGATCTGATTCAAGTCCATATTTTAATCACAGTGTCACTCATTCAATAACTACAAAAAGCTGTTTCCATTACAAATACTATTGTTTATGTTGACATTTTTTGGGTGTACCAGGAAAAACACGCAACTATTTTGTCAACGAATCAAATGGAATGCCTTGAAATTATAACTGGTAGTTTTAGAGCCATTTAAATGATTTCCTTCATATATGATTACTTGAACATCAAAGGATTTATTTCTCAAATGCATATTAAATGCGTGTCTTATAGTGGTATACAAAAACTTTTTTTTTTAGATATAGAAGCAAGAAATTATTTGAATAGGGTTTATGGATATTGAACACTCTGTCAAATTCTGAATTGCCCCAACTTTTTCAGTTTTTGGGCGGGGGGAGCTAAATTGGTTTACCCAGACAGAATGGTAACTTAGGATGTGCCTTGGCCTTCTATTTTTCATTACAGTTCATGGCAATCCAAGCAATGCTTTTAAAATGTTCTTATTTTTAAGCTACTTTTATTATACACTCACTTAAACTTATATGAACGTAATATAAGGTTATACAAACACAATATAAGCACATTTAGACACATCTCAACAAAAATACCAGAATAAATGTATAGGCTGAATATTAGCTAAAATTACAGACCAATAAAATTTGAGTTAATATTAATGTGATGGATGATGTTTAGTTGACTAAGTCACTTTTTACAGTCTCTAAGTTTGGCATGTTCTAGTGAATAAGTACTAATTCAGTGATCTTGCCACTTCTTCAGCTATGCTTTATAAGTCTTGTTTACTTGGGGTCTTAAGTGTGGGGCAGATGTTGCCTATCCAAACAAATTAATAAACATATATTATTCTATGTATAGTATGCAAAAGATTGTTTTCATATACTTTGATTCTTTAAACAACCCAGTCTCATAACTATTGATTTATTTTTTGCCATCTACAATTTTATAGGTACCCTTAAAATTCTACAGTCACTCCCAAGTAATTATTTTACCCAAGAAGTGAATTATAGTCTTAATTTATGCAGCCTTCATGTGTTGGGGGACTGGTGATCCAGAGCAATTTTTCCCTTTTTCCTTTTTTTTTCTTGGCCATTTTGCTTCTACTTTAGCAACACTAAAACATTCTGGAGAGAAAAATTAGGTCATTAAGTCAATAAGTACTTATGGAACCTGCTAGAAAAGTATGTGAAACTCACGCCTGCCCATCTTGTTCCTTGCCAGTTACTCTGATGAAGGGCTTGGGGAGAGAGGAGTTTGAACAGAAGGCAGCATCCATACAGCCATTCAAATCAGGGCTATAGCACACATGGAAATGAAAATGGAACAGTTTCTTATTGTAATTAATTACTTGTTATATAAGGACTGAATTGCCTGATTCAATTGATTGAGCAAATTAATTTGTTAATTAAAAATCTGCCCTTTATAAGATAGAGAATGAATAGCAAATGATAAATGGAGTTTAGCTTAAACTTTTGATAGTCCATATATTGTCAGTATTGCTCAAGTCCAATGAGACATAACCTTAGTATAAAAATGAAATGCATTAAAATCTATGATACTAATTTGGCAGTACCATTAAGTGGTTTCAATGGAAAGGAATTTAGTGGTAATGAGAACTTATTAAATTTTTCATATCTAATTTATAGGCTTTGGAGCCTAAGCAGAGTTTATTTGTTACTAGAATATAAGTTCTGTCAGAATCAGTATCTTTTCTGTTTTGTCCACTCTGTCTCTGACACCTGGACCAGTTCCTGGTAGTACATAAGTGCCAACGTAAGATTTGTTGAATGAGTAGATGAACAGAGACCACCAGATCTACTTAGTGATGAATTAGGAGAAGGGGATTCTTTAAGTAGAATAACCCCACTAAGAATATAGGTTCTTTTGCATATTATTTTAGTTATGTTAGGTTTTATTTGCATTTCTTCAAAGGGAAAGGAGTGTAGAATTTCCAGGGTAAAAAAAAAAAATTGTGAGGAGGTACCTGAAGTGCTGCTTCTCCCTTCCTCCAACCTTTATCTAAATAAAGATCAGTTTCAAACACTTTTCTTCTGTACTTTTTATTTACAAGACATCATTTTTAGAAGCATTTTTGTTTTATAACAAAATTGAGAGGGAAATATTTCCCATATGTCCTCTGTCCCCACACATCCATAGCCCCCCCTATTATCCATATTACTCACCAGAGTGGTACAAAAATTATTTTTACTTTTTTCCCAAGAATGAACCTCTATTGACATATCATAATCACCCAAGTTCTTAGTTTACCTTAAGATTCACTCTTGTTGTTCATTCTATGGGTTTAGACAAATGTATAATGACATGTATTGTTCATTATAATATTTTCCAGAACATTTTCATTGCCCTAACGATCCTCTGTTCTCTGCTTATTCATCTCCCCTCACCCAGCCCTGACAACCACTGATCTTTTCATTTTCTCCATAGTTTTCCCTTTTCCAGAATGTGATACAGTTGGAATTGGTGGCTTTCACTTGGTAATATGCACTTAAGATTCCTCCATGTTTTTTCATGGCTTAATAGCTCATTTTGTTTTAGCACTGACTAATATGCTATTGTCTGGATGCACCACAGTTCAGTTATTCATTCACCCATGGAAGGGTATCTTGGTTGCTTCCAAGTTTTGGCAATTAAGAATAAAGCTGCCATAAAAATCTGTGTGCAGGTTTTTGTGTGATCATAAGTTTTCAGTTCTTTTGGGTAAAAATACCAAGGAGCATGATTGTTGGATTGCATGGTAAAAGTATACCTAGTTTTGTTAAGAAACCACCCAACTGTCTTCCAAAGGGGCTTAACCCTTTTGCATTCTCACCAACAATGAATGAGCGTTCCTGTTGCTCCACATCCTTGTCAGCATTTGGTGGTGTCATTTTTCTGGAATTTGGCCATTCTAATAGGTATGTAGTGATACCTCATTGTCGTTTTAATTTACATTTCCCTGATAACATTTGATGTGGATCAGCTGTTCATATGCTCATGTGCAATCTCTATATCTTCTTTGGCGAGTGTCAAGATCTTTGGCCCCTTTTATTTGTTTTCTTAATGCTGAATTTTAAGAGTTCTTTTATATTTTTTACAATAGTCCTTTATAAGATGTGTCTTTTGCAAAAATATTTTTTTCCAGCTTGTGGTCTTTTTCAAGCACTCTTCTTAGTGACTTCCATTTATTAATTCATTTCACTGAATGAGGGGCCAGACAACTACTGAGGCATAGTAAAGTAACTTACTCAAGGACACAGCCGATGACTGGTCAGAGCCAGGTAGTCTGACTCTGGGGCCAGTGTATATGGGGGTACATTCTCTCTTCCCACGACCAGCGCCAAAAGAGAGAACGCGGGGGTTCACGAATCTTGAGTAGAACACGACAAGGGCTAAGGAAGAATGAAAAACAAGACAGACAGAAATAGAGGGAAAAGCTCGGCCTGGGTATGGTGTCTGCCCTCTGATAGATGAATAGAGCACCAGCACTGGAACCCACGTGTTTAATTTATACCCAAATACCAGGAAGTTACATCTATTCTGGGTGGGCCTGACTGGTGGGCATGAGCAGTCAGGAACCCGAGGGCGTGGCTCCATCTCAGGGCCCCTCCCGCAGGGCGGGGCCAGTCAGAGGGAGGACAGTCCTATTCATTCCTGGTGCTAGACTGGATTTACAATAATAAAACCCACTCCCCAACACCTGGGCAGCAAAGATAAGAGTCAATGCTGAAAACACATCGCCGTCTTGGTTAGATGTGTATCCAAGGCTCGGCTCTGCCAGTCACCTTGGGTTCAGCTGACAATATTTTAAGAAGCATGCCCATGTGTCTTCCCTGGGGAGCCCTCTACAAGTGTACTTCTCAGTTATGATAGTGTGAACAGCTGTGGTGTGTTTCCAAGACATACAGTAATTTGTGTTTCTTGTACAAGAGAAATTGCTTCATAGATTAGAATGAATTTTAAATAAAACACTTGCCATCCACTGCTTCAGAGAAAGAACATGGTAGCAATGATAATATTCACAATAGCTAACACTGATATGGCATTTACTATATGCTAGCCATTGTTCTAAGTTCCCTACCTACATTAAGTGCATGAAGTAAATATTATTTTTCCCATTATGGACAAGGAACCTCAAAGAAAGAGGGTAACTCTCTCAAGGTGAACAGTTAATGATATGTGGCAGAGCTGGTTTCAGTCTGCATTCTTAACCACTTTATTAAAATGAGAATCATAGATATAATAACTGTATGCTTTATGTACTTTGTTTATTTTTTTTAATTCATGGAATCCAGGCAGATTTTTATTATTTGTGGTTTTTGTTTTTGTTTTTGTTTTAATTCTACTTGATAAAGGGCCGAGTAGAGGTGTTTCAAGGGGAGAAATTGATATCATGCATTCCTATGTGGACCACGTTCGGGGAACTAGCCATTTTATACAACTGTACAAGGACCGCCTCTGTGAAAGGTAATAGTCGTTGAAATGCTCTAGTTTTGAATTGTTATGCAATGTTAAAAGTAATCAGATTGAGTCACTATTGCATCTGGTTTAGTCTTTTGCCTTCCATTGTGACCCATATGCTCTTAATAGAAATGCTATACTCTTAAGAACATTTATTTTGAAGCACTTGTCTAAATAATTCAAATTTAAAAGAACTTTCCCATTAGATACCTGTATGTAAAATATGAACACGGCTTTCAGCTGAATGATTCAATATTTGCTTTATTTGCCACTTCCCTTTTTTTGTGCCATGTAGATATCTGCCTTTGGCTCATCTAGAATGTTTACTTTCCATTCTCTATGAGATTCTGACCATATTATAAACCAGAAAATTTAATTAAACTAATGAAAAAATATATATATGTCAAAAATGATGTGAATTAATTAATGAGAATTTTCATGAATAGCTTGAGATTAGTTTAATTGCTTCTCTTTAAAGTTCTTGTTTTGAATGTATTCAATCTTGAGTTTTCTTCTGAATTACTTGGATGTGATGTTTCTCAGTGCTTGGGACTGGGTTACATGTCTCAGCATTGCTGCAGTATTTGATAAAAATACAGATTCAGGGCTTTGTTCCAAACCTGAATCAGAATCTCTGGCAGTTCAGGTTTAGAATGTCAAGATGATTCTAATTCACTCTAAAGTTTAGTAAATCAGAGCTTTGGGTTTTGATCTATTTTGTAGACTCTCATTACTCCTTAAAAAAAAATCTCACAACCATAATTTCATATAGAATTTTTAGAGCTGGTATTTCTGTTCCTCTTCCTTTTTAGATTTTATTCTTGCTTTTAATGTCTTTCCTGTAAAAAAGAAAGTCTCAAAAACTATCTTCCATAATCTCTTTGAAAATTATTTGTATACATTTTATGTAATAGTAACCATAGTGATCCTTAAAATATATTGGCTCTCTTTACCAACAGTGTCTGAACACCATAAAAAGACATAAAAACACACTCCTACACCCAGAGATTTTAAACTTTCAATTAACTCATTGGAGTAGCTACAGACTAGCTGGCTTCTCTTCTATCACAGCACAAATCTGAAATACATCCTGATGATGCAGTGCTTAATTGGGAATTGCAAACTAATTTTAATATCATCCTAAGCAAAACATAATTAGAAAGGAAATCTTTTGCTACTCACTTCCAAACCTGGTTCACAGGAAAGCCAAAAATGATTTTATAAAATTGCCCACTATTTATATCCCCGCTGCCTTCCGTTTGCATGTTGAAATAATGCATTTTCCAATAATTACCATTTTATGAGGATATATAAAATATTTATTGATTAACATTTTGTAATGTTTTCTTACTATGGGGCTAAATAATATTTTATTACTTTCTTGGTTTTATTTTTTCTAAAGCTATTACCAATGTTAAAACTTGGGCACTAGATCGAGAGGTATTCCAGAATATAATGAGAAGGACGGCTCAAGCTAGAGATGAACAGTACAGAAACTTCCTCAGAAGGTAAGGCTAACAGGTGGAAAGAGCCAAAGATGGTGCAGCCATTTTGTGGGTCTGTTGGTTTTACCACAATAATTATTTCACTGTAGCTTCTCTTACTACTAAGCGTTTTCCACATGATGCAACCAGAATTATTCCTGTGCAGTAAATGCCACTCTGTATAATATTTAATTCCCATTAGCCTCATGCCCTGACTTTTGATTTATTTCTACTACTAATTTGCCCTTGTATATATGGAGCCATTGTATGTTGTATAGAAAACTGTGCCAAAAAATCCTAAAATACTCACCTGGGTTGCTCAGTTGACTTTGAAAGATATTCTGTAATTTGGAAGAGGATAACAAAAGATAATCTTTCTAATAATGGCTTTGCTTAGAATAATCTTTTTTAAAAAAATATATTTTATTGATTTTTTACAGAGAGGAAGGGAGAGGGATAGAGAGTTAGAAACATCGATGAGAGAGAAACATTGATCAGCTGCCTCCTACACACTCCCCACTGGGGATGTGCCCGCAACCAAGGTACATGCCCCTGACCGGAATCGAACCTGGGACCCTTGAGTCCGCAGGCCGACGCTCTATCCACTGAGCCAAACCAGTTAGGGCGCTTAGAATAATCTTGAAATTAATGTATTTTCCTATTCTTACTTGATTTACTAGAGGCATTTAAAAATATATATTTTTTTTTATTTCAGAGAAGAAGGGAGAAGGAGAGAGAGATAGAAACATCAATGATGAGAGAGAACCATTGATCAGCTGCCTCCTACATGTCCCCTACTGGGGATCGAGCCAGCAACCCCGGCCTGTGCCCTGACCAAGAATTGAACCGTGACCACCTGGTTCATAGGTCGACACTCAACCACTGAGCCACGCTGGCTGGGCTACCGGAGACATTTTTTCTCATTTGCATAGCCACACCATCTTCCAGATTACTATATTTGTAGCAAATTAACATGCCAAAATGTTACAATGCTTGCCATGATGGCATGGATCCTTGAAACATACTCATTTTGTGAGCTGTTCTATATGCCAAACTATTTGGATAGGTAAACTCATATAGAAGGAAATACTTCTGAGTCAGAAAAAGTCAATTATATATTTAAAAATGTTTTTGAAAGTGTAAGTTCCTCATTTAAACTATTTTTGCGTCTTTTGTGGGAGTTTTGACAGCCTCTGAATCTGCAATGCATACTGTAATGAATTGTTACCTATGATAATTGGTCATTATAATAAAATGTCTGACAGTTTCCAAAAAAAAAATAAATAGAATACTAAGTTCTTTTGAAGTATGGTGCTTTTGTCTTACATAACTGGCCTGCAGAATCAATGATTTTAGGGCTCTACAGTGCCTCAAGTATAGTGAGGACTCAGTACATATTGAATGAAGGCATTGCTGATCAGTAGAACATTACAGGCATTAAGAATCTTGCTGAGTTACTCTCCCAGAGTCAATAATGACTCCTGGAAGAGAGCCGCAATAATGACAAGTAGGTGCCTTACCTTTATGCCAACCAATGCCTTAGTGTAAGTGACCTCAAAATTCAATAACTGACCAACACAGGTTAGCACTTGGAGTTAATGAACCACACTTATGCAAGGGCAAAAAAGGGGGGAATAAATAAATAAACCAGTGCACGTGGGTTGCACTTGAATATCTAAGACAAAACCTGAACCACTAGGCATAGCAATTCGTTCCCTTGGAGTCTAGCATGTTCTGGCCTAGTGAAAGGAGCTCAGAGAATTTACTAGTACATATTCCTTCCTTTTCTATTTTTTCTTTCCTTCCTTTTGTTTTCTTATTCATGCATTCATTCAACAAATACTTATTGCTGAGCCCTAAACATGGTGGATTCAGTGGTGATCAAGATAAACCTGATCTTTGCCTTCATAGAGGGGAGACAGACAACAGATATCCTATAGATATTGATTTGCAGGAGAAAATTTTCACTAACATTATAGATCCCAGTGTGGAGCAGAAGTAGAACTTTCACAATGGGCATGTGTTAATCAATGACATGTTTTCGTTACCCTTTTACCTTTTCATCAATAAGGAGATATTAGAGAAATACATTTATTTCATAATACACAGTAAGCTCTTAATTTTTTCATTTATATATTTTAATTATGAAGTATGGATGTATATAAAAAATACACAGTATATATGTAATTTATAAAAAAATAACAAAATGAGCACCATCAAGCCTCTGTCTGACCCAAGAAGTAGAAAGTTAGTCATGTTGTTATTCTCATGTGCTCCACCATGTCATTTCCTAGCTTCCTACATCCTCCCTCTCCTTGGTGTAGCATATGTTCTGAAGTTTAGTACTAATCATTCCCTTGGAAGTCTTTATTAGTTTCCTATAGCTTGATTTAGCCTATTTTTGAACTTCATAAAAATGGTGTTATTTTTGCAACTCAATTTTTTACTCAATACTTTTTTTTTAATTTCTTTATTGGTTAAGGTATTACAAATGTGTCCCCACCCCCCCATTAACCCCCAACCCCCCCCCCCACTCATGCTCTCATCCCCCTGTTGTCTGTGTCCATTGGATTGGCTTATATGTATGCACACAAGTGCTTTGGGTCCTTTGGTTGATCTCTTCCCCTTACCCCCACCCTCCCCTACTTTCCCTCTGGGGATTGATAGTCTGATCGCTGTTTCTCTGTCTTTGGATCTGTCCCTGTTCGTCAGTCTATGTCGTTTTCTGTAGTCCACAAATGAGTGAGATCATGTGGTATTTATTTTTCTCTGACGGGCTTATTTCACTTAGCATAATGCTCAATAATTTTTAAAGATATAATTTTATTAATTTCAGAGAGGAAGGGAAAGGGAGAGACAGAAACATCAATGATGAGAGAGAAACACTGATTGTCTGCCTCCTGCATGCCTCCCACTGGGTATTGAGCCCACAACCTGGGCCTGTGCCCTGACCCGGAATCTAACTGTGAATTTCTGGTTCATAGGTCGATGCCCAACCACTGAGCAACTCAGGCCAGGCTACTCAATATTTTTTTCTAAGATTGATCCATTTGATTAGTTCAATAATTTCTCCTATAGTAGAGTTACGATATCTGACTCTACTGCAGTACACTGATCTCCTCTCCTATTGGGGGGTATTCCAGTGTTTGGCAGTTACAAACGATTCTGATGCAAACATTCTTATACATGTCTCCTGGGCATGTGTCTCTCCTGCACATGTGCAGGGTCAGTCTAGAGCTCTTTTTGAAAAAAATCAGATCCAGCCCTGACCGGTTTGGCTCAGTGGATAGAGCGTCGGCCTGCAGACCGAAGGGTCCCAGGTTCGATTCCAGTCAAGGGCATGTACCTTGGTTGCAGGCATATCCCCAGTGGGTGGTGTGCAGGAGGCAGCTGATCGATGTTCCTCTCTCATCGATGTTTCTAACTCTCTATCCCTCTCCCTTCCTTGCTGTAAAAAATCAATAAAATATATTTTAAAAAAAGAAAAAAAGAAAAAATCAGATCCAGTCGTGTACTTTTGAGTAGCATCATTTTTTTCTTAGGCGTGTCAAATTTTATATGGTAAGAAAGACATATTTGCCCTGACCGGTTTGGCTCAGTGGATAGAGCGTGGGCCTGCGGACTCAAGGGTCCCAGGTTTGATTCCGGTCAAGGGCATGTACCTTGGTTGCGGGCATGTACCCAGTGCGGGGTGTGCAGGAGGCAGCTGATCGATGTTTCTCTCTCATCGATGGTTCTAACTCTCTATCCCTTTCCCTTCCTCTCTGTAAAAAATCAATAAAATATATTTTAGAAAAAGACATATTTATCTTATAGAAATTTTATCAACAGTCGAGTAAAAATGGGTAGAGGAGAAATTTCTCTAATAGAGCAATTTAATCATCTTGATTGGTTAATCACACTAGTGGAATTTCTTATTTTTTTAAAAAAAATAAGTTTCTGTATTCTATTTCATTTTCTGTGTATTATTATTATTTGTAAAAATGTTTCTATTACATGCCTCTGGCTATCATGAATTTTAAGACAATATAATATAACTAATCAGAGATCATTTTCATGCTAATTCCTACATTCCCTCCCTGGATTCAGTCTTTACCTAATTGCAAGGATTTGGATGAAAATCTGATCCTCCTATGGAAGCAGAGCTTGTCACGCATGCTAATAAAAGAGACTGAGATAGGGAGAAAAACACATTTTCAGAAGTGATTTGCTTTGAAAACCAACAACAAATGTAAAATGTTGTGGGTTTTTTTTCCCCCAACCAGACAAAATTTGATTTTTCCCTTTATGATATCTTATTTTTATTTGCCTGTGATAAATTCCTGTAATTATATGTATTTATGTAATTTTAAAATATTTGAAATTTAGTTGTTTATCTGTGACATATTTTGAGGTTTACTTTGGAAAAATTAAGGTGCATTTTTAGATGCATATAAAGATTTTTGAATCTACATATAGGTGTAAATTTATATTTTAATTCAGGAAGATGAAGAAATTAATGTCTCTTTTTAATTTTGAAGTGTATCCTTGCTGAAGAACTTACCTGAAGACAAGTTAACCAAGATCATTGACTGCTTGGAAGTGGTAAGAAACTTTAAAGCAAAAAATACATTTTATTAAGAGATTGTATAATGTAGTCCTTATTAGCACTATAAGTGAATAAAAAGGAAAAGATGGTGGATCGGCAGTCTACAGTGACCAAGGGCCATTTTCTATTGTGAAAAACCATGAGGCCCATTCTCACTGAATTCTGGGGCTGGAATAGCTTTAGGTGACTCTTCTGAAATGTATAAAACATTGGACTTGCATGTGTAAAGTATATTTTAATCTTTTTAGTATATTTTATAAAACTAATCTGCATTACTCAACCAGCTACCTGCCACGCGTTCAAAATGGTGGCAAACCCAGAGATGTCACTAACAAATCTTATTTTTAAAATTGGGCGACCAGAGTTGATATGGGAGGCTTGCAGCTGTAGACTGCACGGCTTGTGGGAGGGTCCACTGCTTGCATCTATAGACGCTTACGGCGTACAAAGGGTCAAGAGGCATTTGATTTTCTGCCGTACATTTCACAACTCGTACAGAGTTTTCATAGTATTAAAGGAGTTGGTGGTGCAAATTAGGAAATCGTGCAGAGAAAGAGGGTACTGGGGCGTTTGGTGATAGCTCCTGAATCAGGCCATGAAACACTCTATGCTTGCACACTCTAGCCCAGTGATGGCGAACCTATGACACGTGTGTCGGAGGTGACACCCGGACTCATTTTTTTGGTTGATTTTTCTTTGTTAAATGGCATTTAAATATATAAAATAAATATCAAAAATATAAGTCTTTGTTTTACTATGGTTGCAAATATCAAAAAATGTCTATATGTGACACGGCACCAGAGTTAAGTTAGGATTTTTCAAAATGCTGACACGCTGAGCTCAAAAGGTTCGCCATCACTGCTCTAGGCCATGAAAATACTTTAGGAAAAAACTGCACTTAAGAAGCACTTTATCTATTTTAACATCTAGGGGGAAAAACATGGCATGTTGGAATGTGTTCAAAAACTCATATTAAGCCTCACCCAGATGGTTGGTTCTAGTCCAAGACTAGCCAAGTCTTTTTGTGACTAATGCTTTTGTGACACGTACCTTGGAATCTAATGTTATGCGTTATATGAAAACTTCTTCAGATTTCAGAGCCGAACATTCAAAGCAAATAACCTCTCCTTAACCGGGGGTGGGGGTCAATTTCATTGAAACCAAAATGGCTTACCAGGAATTTAAAAGAAGGCAAAGAATAATTAAGGAGTCACACACAGACTCTAAGCTATTATAAAGCTGTTTTCAGTTGGAGACACAAACAAAACACAACCTGCAAGCCTGGTTGTTTACAGATTCATGCCTCTGTCAATCGCAATACACAGTGTAAACTAATATCTGCCGAGAAGGGAGCACTGATCATTGCATCCTTAAATGTAAGTGACACCAGTAATGTTTCCATTTAAAATTCATGGATCCCGTCCAGCAGTTTATCAAGGACAGGCCATGATGACACAGAGCCTGGCCTTATGTCCTCAGGGCGTTCAGTTATGAAGTCATTTTCAAGAGGACTGCTTGCCCTGTATCTTTTGGGATTTTCCCAGTGTAACATAACCCAATCACAGATGTTACAAATTAATAATTCATCCTAATTTCTGAGAGTGTTGTGGTGTATTTTTTTTAAGCTAGGGAGGCCCTATATTTTTTGTTAACCCAGGAAAATCTGGTTTTAATGTAATACTAATAGGGTCGATTCACCAGAGGGGAATTCCATGCTGACAGCAAATATTAAAATTTAGTATCATTAAAAATAAATGGTAAATTAGACATATTTATAGCAGCCACAGGCAATAATACAGAAAATATAGATGAGGGGCTCCCATCCAGTCTTAATTAACACACAATTCGAGTTTGAACGTCTCATCTTTTAAAACACCCTAGAAAAGCTTTATTATATGTCAGCATTTGCAGACAGCAGCATGGTTTATAAAGAGCTCTTTATTCATACCTGGCAAACAAATGGGACCCTGTAGCGTGTGAAAATTCTCAAATGCGGAAAGTGATTAACAAGGGAGCCGTGGGATCTACGTAGCTCTAAGAAAAGCACATCATTTACCAGCATAGCCAACATAGACGACAGCCGATCACTAAGGCATCGGCGTTATGACAGAGCGCCCACTGAGCTCTAGGACCAGCTGTCCCACAAACTGTCCATAACCTTTGAGAAAGACACGCTGGATCTGGCGTGCTCTTTAGGGGTTGATTTGGGAGTTTTTAAATTTTTGTGCAGGGACCAGGAAGGAAGATCAGGACTTCCCGTCACTGAGCAGTTGATCTGATGTGTTTGTCAAGGCTTGGTTGAACTCCTAAACCAAATGGCCCCGATTGTGTAGTTCCAATAGCATCTCTTGCTTCAGCTTAAATCACCCAGAACATTCGGCCCCAGAGGCAGACATTATCTTCAAGCTTCTTGTCATGTTCTGACGGGAAAAGGAGAGTGGGAATAGTACCAATATATTCACTGCTGTTAATTAACGAACATCATAAAACACGATACAGATTGGGAAAGCAGTGTAACTGTTGGTGATAATAAAAATGACAATGCGACTTCTGTGCCTGGTGGTTGTGCGGCATGGAAGACAAGAGTGGAAGGAGTTTCTGCTCCTACACATGGGGATCAATCCAGGGAGCATGGGCCTTGACTGTGGTTGATGGAAAAGTCACCTATCTCTTTGTTACAGACCTTTGGTATTTGACCCAGTGACCCTCTGCACTGTGACTCTGACATGCCATCTTTCAGGAAACTGGAGATGTGGTGGGGGGTGGGGTGGGGTATGAGAAATGTCCTAGTCCAGTGATGGCGAACCTATGACACACGTGTCAGAGGTGACACGCAAACTCATTTTTTGGTTGATTTTTCTTTGTTAAATGGCATTTAAATATATAAAATAAATATCAACAATATAAGTCTTTGTTTTACTATGGTTGCAGATATCAAAAAATTTCTATATGTGACACGGCACCAGAGTTAAGTTAGGGTTTTTCAAAATGCTGACACGCCGAGCTCAAAAGGTTCGCCATCACTGTCCTAGTCCTTACTCAGATCACCCGCAGTACTGCTTAAAAGATAGACTCCCAGGTACCACCTCATAATGAATCAGAAATTCTGGTGGAGTAAGGGCCCAGAAATCCACATTTTAACTATTCAAGTTTCATGCTTGTTTATTAAAGTTTGAGAAACACTAGCTTAGAATTATGAATAGAATACATGTATTTAGAGTTTGCCACAATCTGCCTCTTCATTCAGGAATTTTCCTTTTTATTTTCTAATCATTTTTTTAAAAGTCTTGTCTTCCTATAGTTCCTGTTAACACGTGCATGAGCCAGAAGGTTTTCTCACTTTAATGATTACACCCAGGGCCATAAAAAAGTTGAGAAACTGGATTTTGCCACAGTTTATGATACAGTTAGTTAAGGGTGGGGTAGCTAGGTAGAAAGTTTACTAGTCCAAGGTCCTGAGATTAGGATTTGTCACTAGCAGCTGTCAGTTCATCATGGTGGGCATTAGGGTCTTCTCATCTACGAAAGTAAGGTGGTGGGGGGCCACAAATCTACGGGCTCTGTCAATCTTTTCATTACAGAATTCTATTCAGTTGACTTACCCAAGTCAGAAGGATTTCTGTTGGTTTTCATTTTGTAGGCTCTGGTCCCTGGAATTAAGCAATCAGGTACTAAATTAGGATTGGTAGGATCCACTGATCCGGGTGTATTTGCTTTAAACTATCTCAGGTGTTTTAACTAGTGTCCTTGTGCAAACAAAAAATTGCTGGTAACAACCCAAATAACTGTATACAGTTTCTTAAGCAACCAACTTGGGTGCATAGTCACATGGTGCATGGAGGGTATGTGTGTGTCCTACATCTGATTGTATATCATCAATACTACATCCTAGTTTCTAGCCACAAAATATTCCCTAAATATTCTAAGGAAGTCATAGACTTGTTTTTTTGTCATTATCCTTTATCACCTGGGATTTTTCTTCTAGTTTTATGTATTTTTTTTTTTTTACAGGAGCTTGGGCATTTTGCTAGACTATCACAGAATGAGCATTTTTTTTACAGTGAAAAAATATTTTTATCTTTTGCTGTTGCTGCTTGTATAGTTTTCTTCTGACTTTGACCTCTCAGTCTGCCCTTGAATTATTTCTTTATTTTTTCCTCTTGTCGTACACTCAATAGGTACTCTCTGGATTTCTAGCACCTTCTTTTAAAACATCTTTTTCAGACTATGGGGCACAGTAGGTCATAAAACCAATTTAGAGGAACATGTTTCATATCAGAGTAATGAGTATAAATGCTGTTTTGAATAATATGTTTCAATTTCATACAAATGTCTGTGTGTGTGTGTATTTGGGTGTGTGCATATAATGTATTTCTTACTGTAGGTCAGAGTGAAAAATGTTTGAAAACCATTGGTCCATAGGACAGGGTCTATGGCTTCTTGGTCCTGTATGGACCCCTTTCCTACATAACCACAGGACAGTAACCACACTGTTTGCATTTCTCTTTTGGGTCTTGGTGACCACCCTGGCTAGACTGGCTGCTCTCCCCACTTGACAAACACTGGCCAGTCTGGCATCATAGCCAGTACTTACCACTATATATTTTTGGTCTGACCTACATCCACAGCCTTTTCTGATCTATGAAGTTACTGTCAACACACTGGGAGGTATTATTTATCTTCCTCCCATGGTTTTTGGTGACAAAGAACCAACCCTGGGGAAAATACCACAAGGAAGGTTGCCCCTTAAGGAACAACAAGGCTCTTTCTCAGTGATTTCTTTCAAGCTGCTCCCTTTTAACTAATCAGACTGAGAGGAATTAAGTTGTGGATCCTCACACACCCGGAAGTCTTTATAATAACTGAAGAACAGCCCAATGGCACTTCAGAGATTCTCCACAGTCCTCTGCTCCGTGGGGTAACGGTGACCGAGGCTGAGATGGGAACAGGAGAGACTGAAGAGCATCCTGAGACCGGCACATCGACCATGACCCCAGCAGTTTTAGTAAAGAGCACTGAACATCAGCTAAGGAATGAAGGTGCCTGGGCTGCAGTGTTGGGTCCCTCCCTAAACCTCCAAGGGTCATAATCATCTCAACTGTAAAATCTAGCTCGAACGTAGCAAAGGCTTGCTTTGAAACTAGAATGAGAAAGATTAAAGAATTGGAGTAAACAAACTGCGATGCCAAAAACTCAAAATATTATTTTCCAACTAAACTAGAAGTTTGTTACTTGTGTATATACCAATCCAAGGATGATGATCTCTGTTGGATCCAAAGAGGTATTCAGGAACCCAAGCTGGGCCATGCCATCATGATTGAGGGAAAAGGATGAAGATACATGCCTGGAATGGTTCTTGGGCTTTATAGAGGAGGCACAGATCACTTCCGTGTGGATGCTTTTAGCCAGGGGTTAGTCACATGGCTACAGCTGAGGAGTACAGTTTACGGTGAGAGATTCTGAGGACCAGCTCACGGCCTCTTTCACAGGAATTAACAGTGATCAGGTGCCTGGCATGTACCCAGTGTGCCACCAGGTGCTTTAGATACAACTTCTCACCTAGTTCTCAGACAGCATGAGGTGTGGTAAGTAATGAAATCTTAATTTTACAGAAAAGGAAACATCCGGAAGAATTAAGTAACAGCTCAGAAAACCATTATCTTCCTCCTTAATATGGCAAACATTGAGTTTTCACTACTCAGTTTCACTACTCAAGTTTCAGATGCTTTTAACACTTCAAAATAAAATCATTCTCTTTAATTGGCTTATTGTGGTAGACAGGATGTACCCCCAAAATGTCCAGACCTAGATCCTTGGAACCTGGGAACATGTTATGTTGCATGGTGAAAGGGACTTTGCTGATGTAATTAAGGTTCTGGACCTTAAAATAAGAAGATTACCCTGGACTATCTAGATGGGCCAGATATCATTACATGAGCCCTTAAAAGCCGAGAACTTTCTCTGGCCAGTCAGAGAGGTGCAGCAGAAGTGGGAGTCAGGTTGCAGGTGGAAGAATCCCCCGTGCTGTGCTGGCTCTGAATTGTAGGGGCTCTGTGCGAGGACTGGATGGAGAGATGCCCCTGGGATGGCAGCCAGCATGGATGTGGGGACCTTATCCTGCGACCACAAGGAACTGAATTCTGCCAACAACCTGATTAAGCTTGAAAGCAGACTTTCACCCGGAGCCTCTAGAAAGGAATACAACCCTGCTGACACAATGGTTCAGTCCTTTTTTTTTTAAAAAAAGTATCTTTATTGTTGAAAATACTAGTATTACCTATGGTTTGTGGGCCTTGGATGGAGAAGGCACGCATCACTTCTGCGCAGATGCTTTTAGTCAGGGGGTAATCACATGACCACAACCAGGAGGCTGAGAAGCACAGCTTACTGTGGAAGACTTTAACCCCCCTCCTCCCCACTGCCGTCCCCTCCCCAGGCCTTCACCCCACTGTTGTCTGTGCCCATTGGTTATGCGTATATGCATTTAAGTTCTTTGATTGATCTCTTCCTGCCACCCCTTTCCCTCTGAGGATCCTCGGTCTGTTACATGCTTCCATGTCACTGGATCTATTTTGTTTGTCAGTTTATTTTGTTCATTAGATTTCACATATGAGTGAGATCATGTGAAAAGCTTCTGCACAGCAAAAGAAATGAACATCAAAATGAAAAGGGAATCCACTGTATGGGAGAACACATTTGCCAATGATGTATCTGATAAGGGGTTAATATCCAAAATATATACAGTACTCATACAACTCAAAAAAAGGAAGATAAACAACCCAATAAAAAAATGGGCAGAAGACCTAAAAAGACACTTCTCCAAAGAGGGCATACAAATGGCCAAGAGACATATAGAAAAATGCTCAACTTCACTAATCAACAAGAAATGCAAATTAAAACAACAATGAGGTACCACCTCACACCTGCCAGAATGGCTAACATCAACAAATCAACAAACGACAATTAGTGGTGAGGATGCAGAGAAAAAGGAACCCTAGTACACTGCTGGTGGGAATGCAGATGGGTGCAGCCACTGTGGAAAACAGTGTGGAGTTTCCTCAAAAAATTAAAAATGGAACTCCCATTTGACCCACTTCTAGGAATATATCCTAAGAAGCCTGAAACACCAATCAGAAAGAGTATATGCACCCCTATGTTCATAGCAACGTTTTATTTACAACTAGAGGCCCAGTGCACAAATTCATGCATGGGTGGGGTCTGACTGGCCTGGCCCCGATCTGGGTGGATCGGGGCCAGGCCTGTCGGGAGGAGGTGCCACAGGTGTTTGGTTGGCTGGCCCCGCCCCTAATTGGGGTCAGGAGCAGATCTGGGGTGGGGGTGGGTGGGGGAAGGGGCTACAGGAGGTTGGCTGCTGGCCCCACCCACAATTGGCCGGTTCACTGGCCGCAGTGGGCATCATAGTGACCAATCATTCTGGTTGTTACAGCGTTCTGGTCGCTGGCTATATATATATAGCTAAGATGTGGAAACAGCCCAAGTGCCCGTCAGTAGGTGAGTGGATAAAAAAGCTGTGGTACATTTACACCATGGAATAATATGCAGCAGTAAAAAGAAGAATCTCTTACCCTTTGAGACAGCATGGAGGGACCTGGAGAGTATCATGCTAAGTGAAATAAGTCAGTTGAGTTCAGTCTTGAGAGATACAATGAAGAGAAACCCCATTGAATCACACTGTGCCTGAATTCTCTGGCACACAGACACAATAAATGGGTGATGTTTGGTTATTTGTTTCAGCAGCAATAGAAAACTAAGGTGTTTCTCTTTTCTAAATCTTTGAAGGTAAATGTTCTTATTTGAACTTTATGGATTGATGGAAGTGAAATTCACAGCAAAACTGGGATTTGGCCAAAACCGGTTTGGCTCAGTGGATAGAGCATCGGCCTTCGGACTGAAAGGTCCCAGGTTCGATTCCAGTCAAGGGCATGTACCTGGGTTGCGGGCACATCCCCAGTAGGAGATGTGCAGGAGGCAGCTGATCGATGTTTCTCTCTCATTGATGTTTCTAACTCTCTATCTCTCTCCCTTCCTCTCTGTAAAAAATCAATAAAATATATTTAAAAAACACACACACACAAAAACAAAAAAACAAACAAAAAAAACAAACAAACTGGGATTTGAATCTAACTCTGACTTCAAATACTTCCCCCGCCCCTAAGATGTTATTCTTCCTTCATGAGAGGTTGAAATATATTGTAAAATGTACATAGTAAATAAAAAGGAATGGTTATGGGTATTAGGAGTGATATTGATTCTGTAACTGTAAATAGGTTTTAAGAGTAAATGACCAAAAGAGATATTGAAATACAGTAGATACAATAGTTTTGTTTGAATTTTAAACAAGAGACAGCTCTTATGTGGTTAATTATGCCTTTTTAAAAAATTAAACAAGCCCATTTATGCATGTATAAATGATTAAGCGATCCATTTTAGTTCTGTGACTTTGAAACAAATCATGTTAAAGCAAAGTATGGGTGGACAGTTTAATCCATCTTTAATCTTCTCCAAGAGACCAAATTGCTCTTTTTGTCTGGCAGGTGGATGAATTACTTTTCCCTGCCCAAGAACTCTTTGATTATATGCACATATAGGAGGGAAACAAAGAAATAAGTGACAGTTTGAGATTTCATGAGGATAAACCTACTTTGGAGAAAAGAATTTACATGTAAAAGAGTCTAATGTTGGTCTTTTATAATGATGAATCTGTGGAAAGAATTTATATGAAAGAGGTACTTAATGTGCATATAGAATTTTCCCAGCCTTTGCTCTTCAAGGAATTAGAAATGGAGACTGATAGTCCTAATATCCATTGGGGATAATATTTTCAATTTGTTCTTTTTCTAAACTTAGCTAGACCTGGTTTCAGACCGCTGCAGGTCACTAAACAGTGTATATTTGGATGACTTAGGTGAAAGCCACTGGTGTATCAGTGATTATTGTTCTGCCCTCATTTCTCTCCTAATCTGCAGGCTCCATGCCTGAAATTCAGTCCTCCTGGTGACTGTTTTCTGTGAAAGGTAAACATACATGCAGATAATAAGGCAAAAATCTCCTTACTTCTCCACAGTTTATGACTGCAATCTTTTAAAACAGATTTTAGTTACAATAGGAAAAAAAAGGAAGAAACAGGTGTGGAATGCTCATTCCAAAGACACTAGGAGTTCTATTTCATTTATGTCTTCATTGATACATCTCCCCTGGATCTAACCTGTCCTGTTCCTCTCATCCCAACAGGAATACTATGACAAAGGAGATTACATTATTCGAGAAGGCGAGGAAGGAAGTACCTTTTTCATTTTAGCCAAAGGAACGGTAAATATTAATTATAGCTTACTTAAAGTAAATAAAAAAAGTCTCTTTAAATCATTTTGCCACAAATGCAGCTCTGCCCTGCATTGCAATATAAGAAGCCCTCTCCTTTGAATGGGTAAAGGTGTTTTTCTGCTCAGAGTCCTGTGGGGCTCCATCCGAGCACTGGGTTTGGGGGCGCAGGAACTTGCGATGTGTTCCAGCTGAGACAGTAACTTCCTGGTGACCTTGGCAGGTCACTTGATATTTTTGGACCTCACTTCGTTGTGTATAAAATGACTGGATTATTTCTAAGGTTCCTTCCAGCTATGGATGTGTGATTTTCCATCAGCCGTAGGGGCCAAGATCAGGGCTGGAACAGTTTCCCTGACAAGCAGCAGGTAGTGAACTTGGCAATTGAGGACAGCGATGGTCAGACCTCAAGCTATAGAACAGTTTGGCTCAGGACTTCAATTCATACACAATAGTTTCAGTTCGATTTAGATGCTGATGAAAATTAGATAGTAATATATATAAGAGGTCTTTTTCTTTACCTAGATATTGAGTGGCTAACATATTGCCAGTTGTTCCTATGTTGACTCTTTACAGTGGTCTCACAGACAAAAATCGTTTGTCAGATACGGAAGGAAAGAGGAAAATCTTGAGGACTTGTTTCTATAAACTTGGATTTTTACAAATGCTCTTTCTTTCATGGGAAAGGTTCATCATTAGATTCAGGCACTGCCCTTTGTAAATTGGTTTGTGATTGAACTTTGAACTGGGCCCCCTATGGAAATAAATTAACAAAATAGTTTTAAACCTCAGAAACTCTTCAACACTCAGAACCACTTTTGTCATTTCTCCCCAACCTGGACCCCATGCTTGGAAAGAATTTTGGCTAATAAACAAATTGCATTTTTTTAAAAATGTTTTTTAGTTCATGGTGATTTAGATAAATGCTAATTAGAATTTCTAATGAACATGAAGCAACCCTGTTGCCATCTTGAATTGGAATAATTCTAATCACAACTAAAGCATATTGTTTTGTTAGGCCTGCCATGGGGATTCTTAAACTTGCTGGGACTGTAGATCACAATGACCCATGAAAGTTTGCGGACTCTTCTCCACATCACATTTTTTGTTCACTTTTAGAGGGTTCACAGGATTCAGCGAGTCAATTATAAACACCTGATTCAGAACTCCTGCTTCTCAGCTTTATTCTTGAGTAAATTGTCAACTATATTTGGCATTTTGAAACAAAGTTCCCATGGGACCATTATTATTTGCTTGGATATCTCTAGGAGGGAGTCACTAGATTCACATAAAATTCTTTTCACTTTGGGAGGTGGGGTTTGAATGGAGACTCTTGCTCCAACAGCGGGTGGAGGAGTGTGATTGTGTTATATCACGGGATTTCTCAGTCCATCGGATTGTCCTAACTACTGCAAGATTATTCCTTGTTCAGTAAAATTTATATAGAGCTGGATGGTCCGGTTGAATAGATAATGTGTTCAGATTCTCCTTTCTTTCTTCTCCCTCTTTTTCATTGTTTGACATAATTTAGGTAAAAGTCACCCAGAGTACAGAGGGCCACGATCAACCACAAGTGATAAAAACACTGCAGAAAGGAGAATACTTTGGAGAAAAAGCTCTTATCAGGTGAATCCATGAATTTGTATAGCATACTATAATAATTCGTTGATTGTTTTGTATGTGCAACTACATGTCAAATTGAGCTACCAAAATAATGGCAGTCAGTGTCCAGGAATTAAAAATTATAAAATACTTTTTTTTTTTGCCCAGGAAATAAGTTAGAAAGTTTTGTTTGCTAGTGAAAACAAGGTTTTCTATTAGAATTTTTAATTTGAAAAGGAGTCAGAGAAAGAGATTAAAGAAGTCAAAATTATAATTTTCTCTTAAGAACAAGTTTTTATATTTCCTGGGTTTGAAATATTGCTGTTTTCCTCTTTGTAAAAAAAATTAGAAAATGACTTTACATATTTCGTGTACTTTTATTTTCTTTATTGATTAAGGTATTACATATGTGTCCTTATACCCCCCTTACCTCCCCCCATTTTGTGTGCTTTTTAATCATCATGATAAAAGTTTTGTATTTGTAAGAATTTTTATTGAGCTCATTTTGCAAGTTTTAGAAACAACATCAAATAATGTATTTGGAATTTCTACCTAAACCTCAGGCCTTTGAAGTATGAATTCATTGGGTTGATATAATTTATGGAAGAAATATATGTATAGGTTAATCAAGTGGCTCAGGGGACACTTTGTACTTCCTGGAACCCAGAAAACAACCTCAAATCTGAGGAATTTCATTTGTGTAAATGTAAATCTCTATATATAAAAGCCTAAGTGATCGTTACCACCAAACCAGTCAACTAGTTGCTATGATGCGCACTAACCACCAGGGGGCAGATGCTCAATGTAGGAGCTTCCCCCTGGTGGTCAGTGCACTCTCACAGCCAACCTCCCATGACCAGCCAACCTCTCCCGGTCCCTCCCCCTGGCCAGCAGGCCCTGGCCAGCAGCCGGTAGTCCCTGGTAAGCAGCCAACAGGCCCCAGCCCTGATCAGTCCTTGATGAGATGGCCCCAATAGGCCCTGATCACCGGCCAGGCCTAGGGATCCCACCCATGCATGAATTTAGTGCACCGAGCCTCTAGTAACTTTATAAAAGATCAAGTTAAAATTTTGAGAAACACATTTTTTGAAGTCATTCAAATTTTAAAATGAATACTTGAAATTAGGTAAGAAATTTCTTAAAATTTGTTATTACTAAATGCTTTCCTTTCATAAAATAAGTAAAATAAAAGCATATGCTTAGAAAAGGTAGCAGTACTTCTCTTCATTTATCTTCCTTCACCTTTTGTGTAGAAAGCCCCAGGTCTGCTTATTTGTATGTCAGGATCCCATAAAGACAGACCCAAAAGGAGTGTTGATAAATTAATATCTGAAGACAAATTTTATTATATAAAAATCATAAGCCTGTTATTTTTTAAGAAAATTCAACCATTTAAACTTAATGGTATGGCTATTATGTAAACAATTTAAAAATGAAATAGAAAGACAAGGTGAATTTTTCTTTACCATTTTCTAGCTGGTAGTGAACATCCCATATAATAAAAGCCCAGCGACTGAATAGCGAAACAACCACAACTGCTCAACCAGTCGCTGTGATGCATATTGACCACCAGGGGGCAGGGGTTCAACGCAGGAGCTGCCCCCTGGTGGTCAGTGCGCTCCCACAGTGGGAGCGCCACTTGGCAGACTGGGATGAGTGGCTGCTCCTGCAAAGCAGTCACTCAGAGGGCGGGTCCACAGCCACTCACTGACCAGGATGAGCAGCGCTCCCACAGCGGGTGATCCCTGCAGGCCACGCCCCCCACCAGTGCACGAATCCCATGTACTGGGCCTCTAGTGTTTCAATAATAGGGAAATTGTCCATTTTGCATTCGTTTATTTGTGACAGAATAGGATGCACTCATGTAATATAATTATGTAATGTCATCATCCAAGACTTCAATCTATTTGTTCTTAAGATTTCCAGATTATTCTTCTCATACCTCAAACCAAAACAACTCAAATTTGAAAGTGCAGAGAACTTCATAAATGTACTAGAGTCAAAATAGCTTTTGAAAGGAAATATGCTGTCTTGTTTTGCTGGACCTGAAATAATTTATGCTGTATGTTGCCGCTAGCCAATTACAGTGTTTTTCCATGAGAAACATGGGAATTTATATTTAATATAAATACCCAACTCCCCAAAGCATTTGAAACCATAAAGATAAAATCAATGAGGAGAGTTGGATACAAAATTTTTTTTACGTTTTTGTGCATTTTTATGCTGTTGCTTCTTAGGGCCACTGACTGTGACACAACATTCCTTACATTCTGTGTATTTCCATGACTCGACACTAAATAGCCCAAGAGGTCTTTCAGAATTTTATGTGCAGAAGTTAATCCACAGCACTTGCACAGTTACTGTGAGAGAATCATGTATTTACAGACATCTGATACTTATAAAGAGTTTGCGAGTGTTTCTAGTCAAAATGATGGCACTGACAAGTAAAAAGAATGCCATACCTCTTCTCTGTTTTGAACTCACAAATCAAGTAGTTGGCCTACATCCAAGATCTACATATCTACAGATATGTACATGCAAGTTGAGTACAAACTACCCAGCTCCCAATTCAAAAGCTAATTGAGCTGCTTTCACTGATATCTTCTAGCAAGGACCCTGTAAACTTGGAAGGGACTGTGGGTCATGTCAGAAAATCTCTTGATGCCAGCTATCCAGACAGTGGACTTCTTTGGAATGTAGAAATGGGCTGCCAAGCTTTTCTCTGTCCCACCATTAAAGGAAGATGAAAGAACTATACTTTGTATGATGCCACTTTTAATGAAGTTGCTTAGAGCAGTCTCAGTATACTTGCTACTCCATGCTACTTTAAATGATTTTCAGAGCACTGGGTACCATATGGGTGTGCCTTTTTTCAATGTCTTTAGCTTATAACTAATAGAGGGAGGAACCTAATCAAATAAAAGTCTCTAAATACTTTACCCAATGCTTGACCCATTGATCTTCATTAGGTAACTAAATTTACCCTCATTAGATTACATGCCGGTAATTCATTGTATTTAAGCTATCAATTATAAGATGCACCATTATATATTATACACTTCTGAGAAAGACCTTGCTGTTAATTACAGTATGACTCATCATTACTGAAAGACATACTCTGATTTTAAAGATATTAATGGAAGGTGTACATAATAGATTCTATAAAATGAAAAAAGTATTTTGGTATTATTTGATTCATTGGGCAATTGCATTAAAACACTTCCTTTGGGTTTTATTATTGATTGGTTTATTTTATGTTAATTACTTAAATGTTTTTCCAATACATTTCTTCAATCAGTCAGTTTTGGTTTTGCCTGCATATTTTCAGCAGTTCCCATCTGATCAGAGAAGAGCTGTTTATTTGGCAGACATGAGAGCAGAATGATATTCTATACCTAGTTGTTGTCACTGATTTTTCTGTGTGTGTCCTCCCCACCCCCCCCACCCCCAGTTATCATCTTCTCCCCTGAATTTCTTGTATATGTAACCTTTACTGGAATATATTTCTGATCTTTTTTAAAAGTATAGCATACAGCTGATGATGTTTATAAAAAAGCATAGTCTTTTGAAGGCTTAAGTGATGGTGTTTATACAAAGTGACAGATTCTCTAATAAAAATAGGCATTTAATTTCTAACTGTGGAAAACTGCCTTTCCTGTTTTTATCTGCAGTGAAGATGTCAGATCAGCGAACATTGTTGCTGAGGAAAATGATGTCGCATGCCTGGTTATAGATCGAGAGTGAGTATACTGGTTGGGGAAGGCAGGCTACTGTCACCTTTGAAGATGTGGCCTTCTGTTACTCCAAGAGCCCATCTGTCTTCTCATTCATCATCACTTGGAAGTGCTGGCCAATCTTCAGCTGCAAGCACATCCTATTAAAATTCATGGGAAGGAATGTGCCTTCTGATCTGAATCTGTCTGTGGCAATGGCAGATGCTGGCAGACTAAATATTTTGTGTGCAAAGTTTGTACATAAATATCAGCAATAGATTTAAATTCTGCATCTTCCAGAGAAATAAGCTTATTAGTGCTCATGGATTTTTCCCCACATTACATAGTAAACAACTTCATAATTTATTTCTAAAATGCTCTAAAGAGTTAAAAATATTTTAAGCAAAATGTATCTCAGACAAAATATAAAATATTCATTAGCTATATATATATATTTCCAGATAAGTTTCAATTTAACGACTGTAGTAATTTGAATGTGATGTGTGTCAAATTTAATCGCTAAATGTCTTAGGTTATTTTTCAGAAGAAGTCTCATTTTGTGTCCTTAACTCACTTCAAATCATATTTGAATATGGCCCCTTGTGTCTCTCATTAATCAGTTGAATATTTATTATCTAGTTAAAATAAAGGAAATTCAAACATACCAAAGCTAGGTTCTCGAAGAAAAGTCACAGTGTAGTCAAAGAAATAGGGAATACTCATGTGAAATATTAACAAAAATAGTAAAATAACAGGTATCACAGGGGAATATGTTGTAATTGATTGCTAATCAAATACAACATTTATTTAACTTAAAATGATAGAGATTTAGAGCTGGAAAGAACTTTAGAACATTTTAAAAAGCACAAAATGGTATTATGAACCTCATAATCCAAGTTCAACAGTGATTTATTAATGCCTTATATTTACCACTTCACCACCCTCCCTGCTTTCTCCACACTATTTTCAAGCAAATTACACACATACAGTTATTTCACCTGTAAATTTCGTAGCATCTCTAAGAACTGAGTATTATTTATAATGCATGACCACAATAATATTAGCATGTCTAAAAAGTTAATAATACTTCTTTTTATTATCTTTACTGAGATATCATTGGCATATTAAGATTATATTAGTTTCAGATATACAGCATAATGATTCAATATATGTCTATATTGCAAAATAACATTTATTGCACTATAGACATACATTAATATCCACATATAGAACAATCTCACCCTTACAGATAAGAAAAGTGAGTCCCAGGTCAGTTGAAGAATTGCCCCAACAGTTGAGACTCCTGCCCACATCTCACCATTTCTTTCAGCCTTCTTTACACCATGCCAAAAACTACACAAGGCAGAAAACTACAGAAATGTTTTCTCTTCTCACTGATAAGTTCTTTGTTTCATAAACTCAAAGAGTCCACTGTATACTTTAGTTATAACTCCTAATAACTATTCTACATATTATGTTGACACTAACCTACATAAATTGCTGAAAAACAATTTACAAAGCCTTGACTAACCACAGAAACAGTCTTTTACGAGCTTAAGAAGAATGTCAAGTTGCAATGGTAACTAGCAACACAGAGATTTTAATTTAATTTAATTTAATTTAATTTTCATTTAGAACATTCAACCAAACAGTTGGGACTTTTGAAGAACTCCAAAAATACCTTGAAGGGTATGTGGCAAACCTGAACCGTGATGATGAAAAAAGACATGCGAAGTAAGTGGAGGAATATTTTCCTGAGCTGGATATGGTTATAGCAGTTGACGAAGGGGACAAAAGGGTGTGTTTACTATTGTAGTAACTTTTAGTGTGCCTTCACTAGAAAATTTGGGGGACTTCTTTTAAGTTGTCTTCCACAAAGAGGATACCACTTACACTGGTATGAGTATTTTAGTCGATAAGCAGTCAGCTCCTTATTTGGGTGATGAGTAGTAATGATAGGGAGAAATTTCCTGATAGGGGGCCTTGGAAAAGGGGTTCTTTACATTGTCTGGTGACTTAGCTCAAAAGACATTAATTCGGAATCAATGCCTTTGTTGCCCATGGAAACCAAGCAGGAACACCAAAGCAATCAGCCCTTTCTCTCTGATTTCAGGTTAAAAAATTGCAGTATAGTCAGAATTAGTTCAAAAGATAAGGGAGCTATTGCCTTGGTGTGCGTGTGTGTGTAGGAAGGAATTGGTTAGGGATCTAAATGTAATACTGATGAGGAATTTTCTGTTTAATAGAAAAATCTACTTTGTAAAACTACATTTATTTGAAAATCTTTTGCTAAAACATTTTGTGGAATGAATACTTCAGCACATATTCACCAGATAGTACAATTGAAGCAGAAGGGTCAACAGTTCCAGAAAACTGACATTTGAGTTAAATCAGAGCATTCAGTCAGGACCTCATAAGGTTTTGTGTTTTGTTGTTGTTGTTGTTGTTGTTTTAATATACTTTATTGATTTTTACAGAGAGGAAGGGAGAGGGATAGAGAGTTAGAAACATCGATGAGAGAGAAACATCAT